TTTTTTTTTTTTTTTTTTTTTTTTCCCCTCAGCCACCTCCAAAACTGCCCAACGGTGTTTTTGGTTCTGAATTTCAAGATTTTGTGAACAAATGGTGAGTTGCAAAGGGAGATGTTTGGTTTCAGCCCTGCTGTCTCACTGCATGGATAACTTGGCAGTCGGGGTCCAGACATGCAGCTCATGGCAAATGTGGAGTAATTTCCATTAGCAGAATCCTCTTTCTCCAACTGCTCACGTGCCTAAAGCTGACTTTACAGGCACCAAAGAGAACCCCAAAGCTGAGAGAGATTCACCTTTTTAAGATACAGTCTCTGTTTCTGTGTGCAACTTGGATTAGTGCTTTTGCAGCACTGAAGATGCCATAGTACTGAGGGATTCTGATCGTAAAACACTCTTCTAAAGGAAGGCCCTTACTTTGATGGGTAACCTTCACAGCATCCTGCAGTGCCTGCTCCACGAGATCCATGACTCTTGCAGGCTCCAGATGCTTTTTCCTTTCCTGGTGCTTCACTGAACTAATATCTTTATCACAGCAGCCATTCTCCCATCTATTTACTCTTCCAATTCCACTTCAGTAATAGCTGCACTGAACCAGTATATTCAATGGGAAGGGAGGCAATTCATTACAGTTTGAAAAGTTAGTTTATTTATTAAAAGCTATGTATATATATCTGCTGTCTCCAAAAGGAAGAACAGCAACGCAATAGCTGTCCTTGATGCTGAGCTTGAATGGAGTTGGGTAAAAGGAACTTGAGGGATAAAGCAGGTGGTATTGTTGAGTTTTCATTTAAATGGGAATTTGATCTCTCCAGCTTGGCTACAGACACTCACTCCCGCCCCCACTGAACAGTGTCAGACAATTCAGGATTTCACACCTAAAACTGTACCCCCAGAAGGGAATTGCTCACAGCCCCAGGTCTGTGTTTGAGAGGCACGAGGTGACCCAAGGCTTTTATCTGGAGTGCTGCCTTCAGACCAAAGCAGTACCTACGTGATAAAACTTGGTCTTTCTTTTAAAAGATACCAATGTGTAACTTTTGCAATGCTTTCTGTTTTCCAGTTTAATTAAAAATCCTGCTGAGAGAGCCGATTTGAAGCAGCTGATGGTAAGTGAAAGTTCTTAACTTGAACTAAGAGCACTCTTCTGGGTGGATTGGGTTCCTCAACTGAGATCAGGTCTGAGATGGAGCATATGGCCTGGAGTGCAGTTTGTGGCCCCGGGTACAAGCAGCTCAAACAGTTTGAGTGGGGGCTGCTTTTCTGATCTAGAGATTGAGGGGCTGCAGGCTTTTGCTCACTTTTAGAACAGGGACTGGCAAGGAGACCAAAATCTAGTGGGTTTTGGAGTCAGCCACTTGGTAATTACAATAAGTATATGACCTAATGCGGTTAAATTAATTAGCAAAATTCTTTCTTGGATTTATCAGTCAATAATAAAGTATATAGACAGACACTTATTACAAAAAGCCTTTCTGTGCACAAGCAGACTTTTTGCAGAGTATTATCTGGAGTGGCTGAGTCACATCCTTCTCACATCCCGTGGTGTCAGTGTTGTGCAGCAGGCACTGCGTGGGGGCAGGTTTCCTCTGGAATGCTCTGCAACGTGTACACTTCACGTGCCGGTTATTTCGGTTAATCCTGCAGAAAAGCTTTCCTGCTCACTTCAGGAGCCAAATTTTGATAGCTGGCTTGAATGCTGAAAGTCAACTGGATGTCTTGTAGTTTCGTGTGGTTCCGAATTATTATTTAACGCATCGAGTGCTTTGAATAATAATCATGGTTTTTCTCCTCTGCTCAGATTCATGCTTTCATTAAGAGATCTGAAGCGGAGGAGGTGGATTTTGCGGGGTGGCTTTGTTCAACCATAGGCCTTAACCAACCCAGCACCCCCACGCACGCCGCGGGCGTCTGACCAGGGGAGAGCAAATCCTGTACTGTACATCTGTTCACAACAACAACAACAACAACAATGCTATTTCGGTCCTATTCCCTCAGCTTGTACCTGTTCAAACACGTTAATTCACCTCTTAAGGAAGAATGTCTTTATAGCATGTGCCAAATGGTTTTAAAAAAAATTTTGTCAGAAACTAATTTGTATCGTATTGGGTTACGTTTTGTTTACTGACCAAAACGTTCAGGTGTTTAAGTTACAGTGCTTGCTGATTTTAAGTGAATATGGATATTCTTTCTTAATGAAGATATCACTGGGGGCGCCTACCCCCCCGGCTTGTTTGAACTTTATCAAGATTCTTTGTAAATCGTTGGTACTTCAATCATGCTTACCTAATCTCCTGTGCAAAAAGGGTTAGGGATGCTCCTAAACTGTCTCTGTCGAGCATGCTTTTTGCTGCTGCCAAACCCTCTCTGAAAGTCAGGCCTGACGGTTCCAATTTTGCTGTTGTTTAGAGATTTCTCTTTCCAGGTAAAGAAGGCGAGAGCTCTGCACTTCTTGGGATGTACAGGGCGATATTCAAAGTGTAGACTTGTTCATATTTCTATATTTATTTTTAAAACATATCATCTTACTTGGATTTAGTGGTGTACGTCTTTCTAATTGATTTTTAAAAGTTAGTTCTTGGAAGTGTCCTACAGAATCAAGAGAAAGATCCGGGCAACTTGCTTTCTTTTAACCTAAAAAATCATGACAACTGTGTTAGTGTCTGAAGTGTATGAAGATCCTTTATTGTTTTATTCTCTCAGATGTTTAGCAATGGATTCTCTTAATAAATATATTATCAAGTAACTTCTTGAAGCTTTCTTTAAACCTCAAAAACTTAACCCAAGTCTTAATCTGAAGTCATTGCTACATTACATGGTTTTTCTCTCTGTTTTCCACAAGTGTGCAACATCCTTAGTTCCAAGTAGGGGTTTGCATATGTAAAATGACAACGTGTGAAACAGGGCTTGACTCAGCTCTGTGTCCTCAGCACAGTCTTGCTCTAACAGCCCTGCTGAGCAGCACTATAAAAAGTTTAGTGCCTTGAAAGGATGTTTCAGACACAGAAATGGCTGAAGTTCCTTCCCAAAAGGAATCCAAATCATTCCAGACATGAACTTCCCACTTGGGCAACAATATTGAGTAGCAGCAAGAGGGATAGAATAACCCTCAGCCCATCAGGGGTAGGAAATGACTCATTGATGTGTCCAAGGCTTCCTTCAGCTTCTCCCCACTTGAGCGTGGCTGTTGGTAGTGACAAGGCTGTGTAATGTTTAATTTAAAATCTGCCCTGAGCTTTAGCTGTGAGTTACACACACTAACAGACAGAAAAACAACAGTGCTGCTTACATTTTATAAAAGAAAGATGCAGTGTGTGAACAGAGATTTACTTTTAGAGGCTAAAATCCCATTTTACTTGTTGTTTTCCTCCCCAGACAGCAATAACTGCACAATTCCAGCCCAGGTAAATGCAGAGGGACACCAGGTAAAGTACTTTATTGCAACACACACCAGAACAATATTTTAAGCAAGCGAGGGGCGCATTCACAAAAGGTAGCAGGAAGAAGGGATATAAAGTATATCCACAAAAGCTATTCTGCAACATGCTGTGGGAACAAATAACACTTTTTAACAGTCAGAATTACCCTTTGGAGATGAAACCCTGGAGCAACTGCTCCAGCAAAGCAAAGGCAGCAAGTGCTTCTGCTGTAAGGAGCCAAGTGAAGGGCCCTGAACCTGGAAGGGAAGGAGGGGCTGAGCCTGGCTCTGGAGCTCCCCACACATGGACCTGCAAAGAACTGGACATGCCAACCTCTCAGGTTTTCAGCTCAGACTTTCTGTTTATTTTTACCTGTGAGCCTTGGGCAAGCTTTGCCAAATCTTCTTGCACACACCTTCTAAGCTCCTTCATTAAGACGTCCAGGATTCTCAAAAACCAATTAGTTCTCAGTACAAGATGAAGCCACGTTTACATTCCACCACCCAGTTTCTACTGCTACAAACCAAATAAACCATCTCCTCAAACAGTGGCAGGAACTCACTGGAGGTTGAATCCTGGGTTCTGCCCACCCCCAGGACACTAGACACCTTTCCAAGTTCCTTTCTTGTTCTTAAAAGCAAACTTCAGCAGGTGATTTATTCTATTTTCTCCAAGTGATGCCAGAGACAGCACCAGCACCTTTAGGTACAGTTGGGCAATGAACATCCCTGGATGTAGCTGACTCTTTTCCTAGTAGGACAGCTGCCAGAGGGGCTGAGACAGAATATTACTTCTAGTGCTTGCCATCAGGTTCACAGATTTTATTTCTGTGCTTTAAAACAACTTTTCAAGAACTGTCTGTGCTCCACCAAGAGAAAGAACATATTTATTGTCTATTGGTAAGAGCAGCACTAGCTTGTTACCACAGCATTAAAGACACTGTGGAGGGGACTTCACATCACTTTTATGTTTTCTAGCTAAGTTTTTAAACTCCTCATACTCCTCCTTGAAGAGTGGTTGAAAGCAGAAGATGGACTTGCATTGATTTATGAAGTTACCACGAGGAAAAAGAAAATAACACCAATTTAAAAAATATTAGCTCCTTATTACAAGTAACAGGGACCGATTCTTACCGTACAATTTGTGGACAAATAAAAGGCTAATTGGCTGCTACTGTGAAAGAGCAAGGAGTAGAAAATACTTCCAGGTCAGAGTGACAGTACTTAGGAAGAGCACCAGTGGGTTCAGAGAGAGGCCACCTTGTTACTGCGCTCAGAATTAGGTGGATGGAGCAGCATCTGCTTCTCCCAGTGCAAGGAGAGACACCTGGATCACATTGACAGGGAATGTTAAGTCCAGTTTTCCGTGTAACCGAGCCCACAGCAGCTGAGAGCCCAGAGCCAACCCTGGCCACATCTCTTCTCACTCTGCATCTTAGAATTCCCAGTTCAAGCAAATGAGGTTGTAACATAATCATTGGTTCAGCAACCAGCCTCTAAGGCCTGGTTTTATTCGTCAGCATCAGGAGATAACAGCTGAATTATTGCTTTTATTGTATGTGTTAAATTAGTCTGACTTGATTAATGACTCCTCTTATCCACCTGTAAAGATACAGTAAGCTACATTAGGTTTTAATTGTGGAATGGATTATGCTACATATCTGTGCAGCAATTTTTCATTCTTTTAACATCTAAGTCAAGATGTGCCAAGCTTGTGACATCCGTGTGTTCAAGGGTAACTTCCCCAGACTCCCAGGAGTCTTGCATATCATAGGGTTCGGATCCATATACAGGACAAAATGGAAATCAGTTGGTGAATTTTATACAAACAAAGAATTTCCTGAGTCTGTATTAAAAAGCCTCCGATTGTTTTCTCTCAAGAATCGGATTCCTCCTCCTCTTCCTCCTCCTCCTCTTCATGATCTTGAAGACTTAGGTGTAACTCAGTTTGATTGATAGCAGCCTCGTTGTCCATCTGCCCGAGAGTCTGTCACAATAAAAGAGTTTTAGCTTACCTTGCTAATTATGGAGAGCAGCATTGACAGAGAATGCTTCTCAAATCACTATTAAAGCTGTGCAGGGAGCGTCTTTTAGAAATCTGTGCTAGAACGAGCCCATCACGGGGAGAAGCACCAATTCTCCAGAGGAGAGTTTCAACTAGTTGAGGCAGAAAGTTTGGAGGACATGGGCACCTCCATCCCCTACCGTCGGCTGGATAAACCACCACATCATCATTAAAGAATATTAGACATGATGCTTAATAAACAGCCAGCTGAGGCTGCACCAACAGAGAGCAGGTATTTCCCAACCTCCCTGGAAACACCCTGTTGCTCTCAAGGATGGGAAAAGGCCAAAAAACCCTTTGAGATGTAAAACTGGGCAGATTTCACAGCTGGGCCTTTTCCTTAACGAGTGGCACAAACAAGGTCCCCACTGAGAACTCCAGGTGAAAACCACCCACAGAAACATCTCCACCTGCTTGGATGGCCACAGCCCCTCTCCCTGTCCCCATCCCCAGAATCACAGAATCACATGGGGTTGGAAGGGACCTCTGGAGATCATCTCCTCCAACCTCCTGCCAGAGCAGGTCCCACAGGAACGTGTCCAGGTGGGTTTGAATGTCTCCAGAGAAGGAGACCCCACCACCTCCCTGGGCAGCCTCTGCCAGGGCTCTGCCACCCTCAACGTGGAGAAGTTCCTCCTCGTGTTTAGGTGGAACTTCTCGTATTCAGGTTTGTGCCCGTTCCCTCTCGTCCCTGCGGGCACGGCCCCGCTCGGGGGAGCCCGGGCCCTGTCCCCCCATCACCCCCCGACCCCCGCGGTCCCCCCTTACTTCGTGGGTCCCCCCCGCGGCGGCGGGGGCGGCTCCGGCCTCCTCCCCGGCGCGGATCATGGACTGCAGCGCCAGCTCCTCCACCTGCCGACGGCAGCACAGACCCCAAAAAGTCAGCTATTCTCACACACAAATTTCCCTTTTTTTTTTTTTTTTGAATAATCAGCGACACAAAGAGCACTAAGAGCTTTTCAAAACCTTCGGCTCCAACACAGGCAGCGGGGCCGCCCCCGCCCCGGCGGCGCTGACGGGAGGTGGGGAGGGAGAGCGTGGGGTTGTGTGGGATAACGGCGGAGCAGGACCGAAGAGGCGGCGGGAACACCCTCCCCTCACGGCCCCGGGGCCGCCGGCTCCCAAACCCGGAGCGAGAAACGCCGCCGAACACCGAGAAAAGAGGGAGG